CCAAAGCATGATTTTGGCGAGGCTCACTGGCTAACTTACTAGTTTAAGTTTTCTTGGCCACTTGTGGCTGCTATGCAACTTCAGTATGCAAAAATATCCAGGCCTTTAACCCTCGCGCAGTGAAGTTGGGATATTTTTGTGAAATTGTTTGCCACTGAGTAACGGAAATTATCCTAATTTTGTATCAAGGCCAAAGTTGAGAAAATTCCAATATTTTTTTCTAATCCGCTGCAGAAGATTTTGAATGAAAATAAAAATCCCTCGCTGGGTGTCATTTTTTCTTGTATTCCTGGCATAGGATTAGCATGCAAGATTCCAGAAAAGATAGAACATTTGCCTCAGGGATTTTTCCTGGCTTTAGTCCTTCTCAACCTGGTTGCATTTCAGTGACCCTAAATTGGGTCAAACCAAAGTGCGCCTGCCCCCAAAAATATTTTGAATCCGCCATGCAGTTGAAAAGAACCCTTTGCATGGAAAATCGGGAAAAGACGTCATCATCGTCATCTGCCAACGTTATTGGCAGACAATTTTTTTCAAAAGCATTAAAAAGGAAGTTCCTGTATTTTTCTCTGCCATTTTCCTCAAAGAAAATATAGCATTCTTTAAAGAAGAGGAGGATGCTTTTATGCTCTTTGAAGTTCGAATTGTGGTGAATTGAATTACTCTTGAAAATATGGCATATGAAAATATTATAACTTTCATCCATTATCTGCAGAAATTGCACTCCAAATTCACACTCTCATATACTGTACTGTTATCATAAAAACAATTTCATTACTATTTAATCCTACTTTTGAACAGAAATTCCTTCTAACAAAATTACAAAACATTTTTGAAATGAGATTTTAACAGGTTTATTTTTCATGCGATGAATTCAGCAATCGAAGCAGCACAGAAAATCGAGTTCCAAAAATAGCCAAAGATTATGTTGAAGAGCACTGAAGTGTTGTCAAATGATGAGGCTAGCTGTGCAAATAAAGAAATTGGAATTCATGAAACTCGGGTGGATCAATTTCAAAAAGTCTTGGAATTTATTAACCAATCCAAAATAACAGGTACCAACATGCTTCTATTCTTCGACCTCCACGAAATCGTGGCTTTGAAAATGCCCAAGATCAAAACCTGGGACCAGCTTTTGAACCTGGGTGTGAGAAAGGTCTTCACCCACTCATCCAGCCTTTGCTTCCTGGAGAAACAAATGATAGCCACGGACGAACCCCTGTTTTACTGGGAATCCACGAAGAACCGGATCCGGATCCCTGGGATCCCCAGCAGGCACCTGTACTACCTCAACAGAGTCTTCAGTGCCGAAGATGCGGATGAACGCGGGTTTCTCCCTCATCGCGTCAAGTGTATCCACGATTTATCGGCAGTTGTCAGTGCCAATGTTCATGACGTCACGTTGTGTTTCGAGGAAGCGAAAACCAAGTGCTTCCGGTGTCGGGGTTCCGGGGAAATGCTGCAAGTCTTCCACTTCCGGTCGAGGTGCCGAAAGTACGGCGACGACTTGGGCATTATTTACTTCCCTTGCGAGATGAACAAACAAACCTTTGGGGAACTTTTGTTGGATGCAACCCTGGATAAGTACGCAGACCAAGTCATTTCTGGGGTGGATGCCGCAGCACTGCACGTTTGAAAAATCGTTTTTGCCTGAAAAGCGAGAGAGAAAAAAATTAAAGTGGAAGAGCTAGTTTTCAATTTCAACCTCTTCACGTTTTGATGTTTTATTTTGTTATTCTCTGCGAAAATGCAAACTACACCGGCACAAATTGCATCACATCCTACTGATGGCCTTTTTTTAATTGACTTGGGTTCTTGGAGAATCAATTGAAGCATTTCAACCGCATGTTTACTTTTCTTTCAAAATTTAGTCAAACGTCATGAAGGTATGTTCCATAATTAGTCCTGGGAATCCAGGAAACCATTTCACAAAATGTATTTTTCTGCTGATGTTATAACGTACACAGCCTTCATTAAATAATATTCGCTAACGTTTGTGGCCACAGAAAAAATCTCCTTGGCGTTGCAGTTGATTTTTCTTTGCCGTTGCCAACATGAAAATGTTGAAAATTTTTCAAAAAGATGCACATATAAGGCCTGATATTCAAAAGAAGAAAGAACTCTCCAAGAAGTACTTCGGATAATCCCTTTGTATATCAAACATATTTTTAACCACTATACAAAATATCCTCCTTTTGACCTGCTCTTCTTTGGTGAAAATAGAAGATATTCTTTTGAGAAATTCGTGATACCTTTCTGCTCTACATCTCACTGCATTGAATATTGGATCATTTTGAAAACATGGAAGCTTAAAAGTATCAGAGAGCACGATTGAAACTTTAACAGATGATAGGGCTCCAAGAATGGGAAACAAGGCATTTTTCAAATAATGGCACATGACTTGATGTGTGTCAGTGGCTCAATTCAAATAATTCGCTTGAGTGAATTTTAATAGAGCTTAACATTCTTACATGGCTTACCAGCATCAAGTTGCTGCTTCATTCGCCAGTTTTTTTAGACCAGGCTTTGAAATTATTCCATTCAGTTTAAGAGGTCAGAGACAATATGGAAAATTTGAACCCAAGATAAAATTAGAGGCAACATTTTGTACTATAAATGTTGTAATTGCAATGGGGTTTCATCCAAATTTTGGGAATGCCATTTAAGAAAGACCTCCTCCCATTAAAAAAGAAAACGGGGAAAGTGAAGATCAGAATGGAAAAAGCTTGTGATAGTTATTCAGGAATTATTGATGATTAATTGGATTTACTTCTGTTCCAATTCTCTCGTCAGCCAGTGAAAGACTTAGAAAAAAAAATCTGAGAACAGCTTCAAATGGCATCTGCATGGTTTTGAATTCTTTGCGGATTCACTTGGAAAGACTCGGCGGAAATGGCAATCGCATATCTGACAATTGTTAATCCATTGTCATCACACTGAGATCTGCACACCATTAATTTTACCTCCCGGCAATTAATTGTTCTCAAGAAAAATGGTTTACCTGATGAACTTGACTGCTCCCACAAATCAACTAATGTTGATGAACAGCATTGATTCCTCTGACATTGATTCCAAGGGATCTTCTGACGACTGTATTGACAAATGATTGATTCAAAGATTATGATTTAAGAAAAAACTCACGAGAAATGCAGAAACGAAGAATGAACACAGAATTTTTGCCCACATATATAATCTAGAATAAATCGATGTTTTACCAGCAGAATTTGCGCTAAATAATATTAAGGCCTTATTTGATGGGCACGCACCAGAACTCACCTGCACAGAACTCAACCCCCCGCCCCCTGCGCTTGGCGGTCCACCCCCCGCGCTTGGCAGTCTGCCCCCGCCAAGGCATCTAGTCTTTCCTTGGGTGACAGACCCCCACCAACAAGAAGCTAGAGGGAGCTGCAGGCATTGGCCTCACACGTGGCAGCTCCCGTAAATTCTGTTGATTCTCCTGGTTGGAGGGTGCAGTTCCTTACGAAATTCAAGGATGGGTGGGGGTGTAGGAAATTGACAGACATCAACTGAGCATGCGGTAAAATAAGGGTAATAAATATTAACCTTTTAATAAATATTAAAATGAGTCAATCAATAAATGCATTTTTTGTTGAGCCTTTTTATGCCAGGGTTTCAAAGTCAATTATTGTTTGTATCATAAGCTTTTGTTGAGTCAGCTTTTGAGTCGCATGCCATGAGGTATAATACAGTGATATTAATCAACAACAAAGAATATATGTTTTCCTACGCTTCAGAATGCTGCTGGACCCATCTCCCAGCAGGCAAACAAAATGTTCACAACCTATATAAAGGCGATATGGTCAGTATCAGCAATAAGGATGAAATGAATGAGTTTCCCCTGCTGGTACCCGAGTCTTAATACAAGCTGTTGTTAGCCATATTTCTGGTTCTCACTGCTTACAATAAGTTCTAAGTTCATTATTTTAAGGTACAGATCCAAGTAAATATTGATTCTTTCGTGTCAGCCATTTGCACCCTGACAATCCATGAAACTTCCTGGTCTTTTTTGTAATATTATATTGAATGCCTTTTTTGTATAATATTACATTGAATGTCCTGGAGCGCCGTTGACCAGCATCATCATGCAGTAAAACGTTCATTTAGTATAGACCAGCATGGCCTGAAGAAAATTAGAAAATAATCCAACAAAATTAAAAAGCTGCCACAAAAGAGAACAACCCGAAACTGGCGTCTCCAAATTCACAGCGAATTCAAACTGTTCTGTGCAAACTGCTCGTCAAGAATTTTTTTTGGCCAGAGAGAGAGAGTGGGAGCGAGAGAATGACGTGCAAAATTATTACATTTTTGCTGACCTGGCCGGTGCGAGGGTAACACGGTACTTTGGAATTCCATAGCAAACCTTTATTTTCAATTTCAGTCCTTTTTACAATGAAAATTGTTGAAGAAACGTATTCTTGAAAACCTCGTCAGATATATTCCATGTTGATTTGGTGCATTTCATTCCTGAAATGAATCATTAGGAGTAAAAAATTCTGTGGTCTGCTGCCTGGAAATTTTTTTTTGCTGGCATTCTGTTTTTCATTTCAGGAGCCCTGTGTTTCAAATGTATGTTGATTTGGTGCATTTCATTCCTGAAATTAATCATTAGGATTAAAAAATTCTGTGGTCTGCTGCCTGGAAATTTTTTTTTGCTGGCATTCTGTTTTTCATTTCAGGAGCCCTGTGTTTCAAATGCAAAGAAATTATAAATAATACGCGTACTTCAAGAGAAATCATGAATCTTTTTGGTGGACGAGGCATTATTCAAGAGAAGTATTTCAAGTGCATATGGTTTTCTTTGTTCTGATCAATGTGATCCTGGTCAGAATTTTTATCAATAATACGCGTACTTCAAGAGAAATCATGAATCTTTTTCGTGGACGAGGCATTATTCAAAAGAAGTATTTCAAGTGCATATGGTTTTCTTTGTTCTGATCAATGTGATCCTGGTCAGAATTTCAATCAGTGGACGGAAAAATATGCTGGAATCGTGTCAATCCGAGAATGATGAGGTGCAACAGACATTGAAAACCATTGATCCCTCAAAAATCCAAGAAAATGCGATTTACTTGATGGAGACATCAGGATTGCCCATGTTGAGTCCCAAACAGCTCTGTGCAGTTGAGTCTGCAGCTCTACATCACCCCAACAGATCTGTGGTAATGGCAGTGAACAATACGTTCTTGCAGCTGCCCATAGTTTTGAAGTCCTGGTCTGAAATGTACCCAAATGTTATGTTCATCAATATGGACATAGTCCAATGGCTGAATGGGACCATTCTTCTGCCATGGCTTTCTAAAAACTTACTTGACAAGAGTCCACTTGACAAGCCAGTAATGCCATGAGGTATGCCACTCTGTTCAAATATGGTGGATTGTACTTGGATACTGATGTGATTGTCTTGAGGCCAATGGATGATCTGGTGAAAGCTGTGGGTCTTCAGGGTACCAAAAAGCTTAATGGTGCAGCATTGGTTTTTGATAAGCACCATCCTTACATGGAAGCCTGCATGAATGAGCTGTCTGCAAAGTGAGTTCCAAAATTATTTTTTAGTTGATTGATAGGTCTCCAACTAAGATTAACACCAGGTTAAAGAAATCCTCTATGGAACTATTGTAATTACTGTACTATCTTAACCTAGAAACATTTACACTTGTGGCAAGTTTCTTCCCTACAAGCAAAATTGCCTTCTTTATTCCTTCCACAAAAATACCTGTTTTCCCCCCTGCATCTGTTCCTTGTTTTTTTACCTATCTTATGGAAACAAAATCCCCATTAATGCATGATGCTTTTTCTCCCCAAAAGACCAAGCACCTAGATTCTACTGACTGTGATGGATGTCATGTGTAACTGATTTTCTTTGACCCTGCAGGATCCAAGAGGAAACGTCTCTTGGATATATATATATATATATATATATATATATATATATATGTATGTACAGTATATATCAAATGATTGAGTGTATTTTTCTGACATGATCTCTTATTTCAGAAACTCAGCTCTCTGAAGTATAAAAAATGTACCAGCTTGCTAGACCACAAAGAAGTACAGACTAGATTTTAGCCTGAACTGAAACCAAGAACTTGAAATTTTTAAATCTTTAACTTGCTCATTGGTCATTTTGTCAAAATTATGTAAGAAATAAGTGAATCTGTGCAGTGAGTAAGCATCAAAATTGGGTTGATTTTCAATAGCTTTAATGCCTCAAACAACTCTTTTCATGCATAGGGCATACAATTAAAATATTCAATTTTACCTCAGAAGTTTCCCTTGAATAAGGAGTATGGTTCCCCAAAGAATTTGAATGATGATTATTCTTGACCTCACACAATTTTTATTTTCCTCCTCTTATTCTCCAGGTTTAATCCATATACAAATGGGGCTCCAATGGACCATGTTTGTTGACAAGGGTGATCAACACTTTCTGCAAGTTCAATGCAACAAATTTACTGAAACCTGGTTACTGTAAGGGCATCAGAATATTGGAAATCAGTGAGTTGAAGAAATGTTTTTTCAATAACAAGAAAGACAATCATACAATGAGTCAGTAAATATGGGTACAAAATGGTTCCTTGCTTTTGAAAGTAATATTTTCAATTCATTATCCCTTTTTGATTTGAAAACACTTTCTGTCACACACTTGGTGAAACTTCTATATAGACTGATCTTCATTTTGGTACTGATTGCACCTGATATACCATGCAATTTATTTAAGCCACGTTTCCTTGTTTATACATTTCCTTGCACTCAACAAGCATGACACTATATTCTGCAAAGTAAAGATGTTGAGCAATCATCATTCAGCTTCTGAATTGGCCTCAGAAATTTTACCAGCAAGTTAAAAAACATGCTGATTCTAGTTTGGAAATTAAGTTGATCAATTTCACATGCACTGCACATAAACGCTTGTGTTTGATGTTTTGACAGGTGCCTTTTACCCAGTCCCATCAACCTACTTCATGGCAACTGTTGTTCAATCATGATCAAAATATTTCTGTAAGTATTCTCAAAAAGGCTGAGCAGAGCTATACCATGCATTACTGGAATAATATGTCTGCATATAAACCCATTCAAGTGGGTACCCCTCAAGCTCTTGGTGTGCTTGCTGCCAAACATTGTCCTGTAGTATCTGCTTCAATAGCAAATGGGGAGCTGTAGGGACTCAACATACATTCCATTAACAAATCCTGATTTTATTTTCATTACTGATGCTTCCTCCTTGTTTTTGTGTGCATTGAATTAGTGTTTGAGGGTTTGATATTGTATGAAATTGAACTTTTTACCCAGAGTGGCATACCTCATGGCATTACTGGCTTGGGCAGTTTTGAATGGACTCTTGTCATGTTAATTTTTAGAAAGCCATGGCAGAAGAATGGTCCCATTCAGCCATTGGACTATGTCCAAATTGATTGTAGTCATATTAACAACCACAACACCCTTCACTTTCCGCATGACCCTTTTAAGCTAATGTATTTCCGTATTTCCACTACTCTTGGCTGCGCCTGGTGTGCTATCAATTATATTTCCCAATCCCGTTGTTGACGGAATACTTTCCCAACCGCGCTCATGCTTCCTTCCTTTAAATAAACAAAGTCTGACGTCCCCTATCCAAATTGGTTTCTATGCGTGTTCTTTGACCTTGGCCAGCCAAAACTATATATACAGGTGCATTTTATGTTGCATTAAGTATACTGCACCAGACTCTGACTGAATGCCAAATCCACGCTGCTTTGCTTTGTAGCATTGTATTGTATTGACTGTGTGTGAAGATATAACAAATAACATTTGAAATACTCTCATTGAGTAACTTTTGTGTTTCCCTTGAAAGTTGCGGAAAATGATTTAAATCTCCGATCCCCTTTTCCTTTAATTATAGAAAGTAAGTCCTCAACTACTGATCATTGTTGATCACTAACTTCAAAATTATAGTTTTTGGATAACATGATGAACGTAATATTTGGGTACATTTCAGACCAGGATTTCAAAACTATGGGCAGCTGCAAGAACATATTGTTCACTGCCATTACCACAGATCTGTTGGGGTGATGTAGAGCTGCAGACTCAACTGCACAGAGCTGTTTGGGACTCAACATGGGCAATCCTGATGTCTCCATCAAGTAAATCGCATTTTCTGG